TCGAGAAGCACCCTCCACAGGGACTGGTCATGCCACCATCCCTTTCTCCAGTCTTCCAGCCCGTCAGACCTTTGGCACTCACACACATGCTTGGTAAGTTTTTTTCCCAAACCTCGCCATACCGGGAATTCAAACTATGGTCACGTCACCAAGTGAGATCCAGCATCTCTTGAGTAGCAAGTTATTGCTGCACCAAGGAGTCAGCCCGAATTAGGGCTTTCTTAATGTTTGTTTTAGGAAAGGTGGCAAGCAAGCAGACAGTCACTATAACAAAGTGAGGGGGAAATTTGAAAAGAAGAGAGGAGCAGTTCATATCAGGGGACACAGGGGTTCGTGTCTGAGTTATCCTCACCTTTTTGTGTGCTATCAGGAGGCAGTTGGAATGCTCATGTTCACACGCAATTTCATAATCAGGGATGAGATCCACCAACTCACGCACAAAGCGCACCACTTCCTCATGCCAGGGCACGTTGGCCATGGTGAGACTGCTTGCTGAACTTTCCCCACAGTAGGTAACACCCTGTGGAAACATTGCAACAGTCAGAGATGATTTCAGACCTATCTGAACGTCACTCACTAAGACTTTCAGGGCCAGAAAGGCTTCCTGAGGTCATCCAATCCAATCTATATTTGAAGTGAAGAAAGTGATTCAAAGATAGTAAGATTTGCTTAGGAGCACATACAGGTAGTTAGTGACTAAGACAGCTCTGAGATCCCAGGCCCATGCTCATGGCATTCTCTGACAATGCTATGACACAATCTATACTGTCTAGTCACAATAACATTTTTGAATGAATAGTATAGTTTTTCATTCCAATATTTTTTCCATTCAAATTCATCTGTGCACTATAGCAGATTAATTCTGAAGGGCTTATTATTCCCTAGTACAATGTTGGGGACAGAGTAGATACTCATAAAAATTCAATGACTACCAATTCCCTGGGCAAATGGGGTGAGCATCCATTTTCCATAATAGTTGAGACTAAGAATGGCAAACATATTCTGTAAAGGGATCCCTGAAAAATTATTCTTTAGAGAGAACACTTTGTAATATACTTTGAAAATGAACCTATGTAAATAAAGACTCATGCCAAAAGGGAAACATGCCCATGTTTATACACACAAAGCTTTACACACATCTACATATTAAAGAACTTCAAAAAGTTAATGGAATACCGAAATTAAAGTAAAACTCTTTTGGTAGAAAAAAACATGTGTTGCAAAAAACATTTTTTTAATGTATGCATGATTTTTTTTATAATAAGCATTTTCCATAAACTTTTTCTAAAGACTTTTTTTTTGCTACAGGGGACATGTGCTTACTGGAAAAACAGACAGAAAGCATGAAATCACACACGCACACATGCCCAGCACATTTATGTTTTAAGCTGCCAGGTCTGGGACTCGAACTACAACTATCTAGGAGTGCAGCAACATAACCCATTACACCATCTGCTGGTCCCATTTTCCATAAACTTTCATACAGCATACATATATCACGCCAATATAGAAATCATACTAAGTACAACTATGGTAAGATTAAGTTGGCAGGGCCAGCAGGTGGTATGATGGTTGGGATGCTGGACTCCCACATGGTCAGTGGCAGTTCAAGTATTGAACACCTGGTGGCTTGCTTTCTCACTTTCCCTCTATCTCTCTGCCTCTCTCTGGTGAGCGCATGTGCCCTACAGCAATTTAAAATAATAATAATGATAGTAAATAAAGTTAAATAAATAGTTATTTAAAAAAAAAAAAAGATTAAGTTGTCTCCTAACTCTGGAACTCTACTTGAACATTCATAACTTGATAGTTTATAACTTTTAGTCATTTAAAGCCTAAAAGTTTCAGAACTAAGTTCTCGATTTCATAAATTTTACAATAGTAAAGTATTACTCTTCTAGTAATAAGGGATATCTTAACTCTGTGGGCTCTTTAAATACCTGCAAAATTAAACTTCTTGACAACTGGTTTGACTATTCCATTACAGATATGCTTCCACTAAGTGGGGGCTAACTGAAGTAAAGACACGTGCAGCACTGCCACCGTTGCTCTGTCTCTCACACACACACAATCACACACACGCAGTACACGGACTGAAGGAGGCAGAACGACATTAAAATTTTTAAAAAGAGAGAAAAAAAACCATAAATGAGCACAGCCGAATGGCCCTGACCCTACAGATGGCAGAGCTGGGACTTGGCTGAAGACTCAGATGAGCTCTGCAAAACACTCTACACTCCAGATGGCTGTTCAAAAAGATTACTGGTCTACTAAACGGAAATGGCCTTTGCTGAATGTAAGCTATAGCCTACCCGGCTTAATTATAATAATAAACAAGAGGATCTTTTTTATTTGCCCAGTGATTTACAGAATTCATTAAACTGAGTTTGAGTTTTAGGTGAATAAAAATGCAAGTAAAAGGCCCAGGTGCAGTGGCACACAGGTAGTCCAGCACTTGGAAGGCTAGAGGCATATGGGGGTCCTAGTTTGATGTCCATACCAACCTGAACATACCAGGCATGGCTTAGTATGTGTCTAGGGTCCTAGCTAATAGCGAGGCTGGGGCAGGAGGACCGCAACATGGTTGAGACTCTTTCAAAAAATACCCATCTCTTTTCTCCCATAAGGAGAAGAAAGAAAATAACAACATAATTCAAAATAACACTTTTAAAAATGGCTGAAAAATCGTTAAACTCATCCAGATGCATAAAAGTGCTTTGTTCAAAGTGTGCTTTACCTCATTTAAATACTCCTTATGATGTGTGAATAAAACAAACAACCAGGTATGGAGTAGCTAATTCAAAGGAATTTCCTAAAAAAGTTCATGGAAGCACAGAGGTTTAGATAAGATCTTAAACTTATGACAATGGTTTTAAAAACATTTTAATATTTAATTATTCAGCAAGAATAAATCATGAAATAGTAAAAGGAGATTTGGTTTGGAAACGGAATGACTGCTACGATTGGCTATGATGTCTTCACATAATACTCTTCCTTATCATTGTACGATGCTTCCTACTTCACATAAAAGTTCTCATTTCAGTCAAACAAAATGGTCCAAAGTAGGCAGTACTGGGTCGCTCACAGAGCCCAAGCCTTCACTGTGGCTGAAATGCTTGGGTGGAGGCAGACGTGGTGAATCAGACTGCAGGTCACCTCCACGAGGCCGATCCCTTGCTCTGTGTGACTTCAATATCTGGCCGCCTGGCGTTCTCCTCTCCGTCTGACTACTTCACTTCATCCTGCGTTCTCTAGTCTACTGATAACTTTGCCCTGACTTTACCCCGAGCACAGCGGATCCTGAATCAGCTAAAAATGCTTCGATTCTCCCTCATACGATGGCTGACACCTTTTGATCCACTGCCACCTGTACCCTAGTCCCATTTCTTCTCAGCAGCAAGTTCTTCCCCAACAGCTCTGAATGGAGATCAACCTCAAGAAAACAGAGGGGTTCAAGGTGGCAATGAAAAGCAAAGTCACACATTCCAGAAGCCGCAGGCTGGCGTGTCAAGAAGTCCCAAGAAAGTTCATGAGGGGCAGGGCCAGTTATGCATCTTTAGGCTTGTGGTGAAAAAGCAGATGCGGCACGGGTACGACCTGGGGGCTTTCTAATGCACTGCACTGCTCTAAGGAGATGGAGGCCACAGGTGGTTTTGTCAGCTGTTTGGAAAGCCTGCACTGAGCTTCGTGGTCTGTGGGAAGAGCAGTTATTTCATCAGTTTGACTATTTGATGTTCTAATTAAACCAACTGAATATCAAAAGACTCCTTATAGTTTGATGAGAAAAGAAATGGTGTGTGTGTGTGTGTGTGTGTGTGTGTGTGTTTAGCAATATACCTAAACTATGGCACTCTTTTTCTCATTCTTTTTTTTTTAAGAGATTTTTTGCTATAGGGTGCATGTGCTCACTGGAGGGACAGAGAGAGACAAAGAGACAGAAAATCACCGCACCCCATGGGGGATGGCCATGCTGTGATCCCTTTTCCATTCTCCTCCTGGGATTTTGGGTATGCATGCACATGTGCCAGTGTGAGTCTTAAGCTGCCGGGTCCGAGACCCAAACCATGGTCGACTACATGGGAGTCCAGCAACATAACCATTACGCCATCTAATAGCCCCTCTTAGCACTCTTTAATTCTCAGAATATTTCAATAGTTCTCCTAAATGTCAGCCCCAGCATCTCTGCATGGCACACAAGATCTTCACCGACCTTTGCAGCCTGTTCTAACAATGGGCCAGCAGCCTTTCATGAGCCCTGGTCTCCACCTGCAGACACAAGTGTCTCAAGAGCTGGACTGCCCCTTGAGTGTCCAGTCTTTACCTAGCTGTATTATAAATAAATAAATAAATAAGAGGGACCAGCAGATGGTGTAGCAGTTACATCAGTGGACTCTCATGTAGTCAACTGTGGTTGACTGGGTGGCTTAAAATTCATGCTAGGTACACGTGCATGATGCCCAAAATCCTGAGAGGAGAATGGAGGAAAAGGGACTGTGGCCTGGCCATCCCTCTGGGGGTGACTTCTCACTTTCTGTCTCTCTGGTGAGCACACACACCCCACAGCAAAAAAAAAAAAAGAATCATTTCTTTAACCTCCATTCAGGAACACCTACTCCATCTGACCCCAATCTCACCATATCTGTTCCCAGATAGTGGGTAAAATGATATGTTTAAACTCTGAGCTATTAGAAGGCAAGGGCTCTGGCCCTGAACCCCAGCTGATGCACATTGAAGAAACTAAGTTCAGGGGACCAGCAGTTAGCGTAATGGCTATGTCACTGGACTCCCATGTAGTC